CCCCCCCAACCCCCATCCCCCCCCCTGCCCACCCCCCCACCACCCCACCACCACTGGCTGGGGCGCTGGACGGGGCGCACGAGAGGGTCAGCGGGCGCGCGGAGGATGATGCCACGAGCAGAATGCTGCATTCTGGTTTTGGGAAGCCCACGAAAGCCACGGTAGCGCCTTTGGTCGATTATGGTCTCGGGGAGCGGCCGGTCCGAGGGACAGCAGAACCTGCAGGAAGCGGCCGGGGCTGAGGCTGCGCGACCCCCCCCCCAAAAACCCCAGAGCTGAGTGAGTACGGGATGCAATAGCGCAGTGCTCTGGGTGACAGGCTGGAGGGAGGCAGGAGAGGAGAGGAGAGGGAGGGGAGGTGTGTGTGTGTGTGTGTGTGTGTGTTGGGGGTGGGGGGGGGGTCATTATATGTGCCTATAGATCCAGTTCGATAAGGACACGCAGCGTCTTTTATTCCAACAGAAACACTGGAGCCGGTCCCTGTTTTTCTTTGTTGCTCGCCCTGCCTTCTCCGCATTTGCTCAGGTCATGCTTTTAACACACACACACGTGCGCGCCCACCTCAGATTTTCCTGCGTCGCTTTCATTTATTTTATTCTTTCCATTTCTTTCCATTTCCCCCCCCTCGGCTATTTTATGCTCCAAATGAGCGGATTCATCCTAGAAGTTTATCGTGTTGCGTCCAGGGGTGAGGAGCATGGGATCAGAGGTTTTACAGCCACTGTGGAACATAAAGATCATTAACGTTAGACCTTCCTATGAAATGTACAGACACACACACACACACACACACACACACACACATAGCCTACACGCACCTCCTCTCCCTCCCCCTCCGTTACTCATAAATGGGGACGGGGTTCTCGGGGTGGAGGTGGTGGTGGGGGGGGCTTTGTCGTGTAAGTTGCCACCTGACCTCGGGGACACAGCATCCTCAGATATCTCCACTTTGATCTGGAAATGAATCGGAAACGCTTTGATGATTAGAGGAGAATTAAAGGGAGGAAGAAATGGAGAAAAAAAACCCTCTCCACTACAGGCTCAGTGAACCCCATCACCACCATAAAAGCACAACTGCATCAGCATGGATCCCCCCCCCCCCCCCCTCTTCTTTCTCTCTCATTTTCTGTCACCGCCTATAGCCTCCACCAGCAGAGGCATTTTAAAACCGATCACACGAGCTGGCCGTTCTCGCCCTGCGTGGCTTCATGTTCCTGATCCCAGTCCTGCTTCCTAACCTGTTGTCAGCAGACCGCTGCAGTTTGAGGTGTCAGAGC